GTATAATGCTTTTCTAATAGAGTGAATACAGTATAATGCTTTTCTAATAGAGTGAATACGGTATAATGCTCTTCTAATAGAACAAATACATGTTAAGCCTCACAGTTGTGAAACCATGTACATTGAAATGTCATGCAGCCAAATAGTGTATTTCACATGTGGTACATATACATATGTCACAAGGGACTTGTGTCAAATATGACGAGATGTGACAACTGTGACATTCAAAATACCCTAATTATTAAAATACCACAAGCCTGAGTGACATCAATTGTATGATAGGCACTGTTAACAACTTTAAATTTAAGAGAATCAAGTTTCCTGAAATTTGGCATTTTGAAGTGAAGGGAATAGTAACATTTTATTTTGAACCGTTAATATTGTCATTATGAATCTTTAAGCCAATGAGGTGTAGTAACTGGTGTAAAATTTCATCTAAACATAAAATATGCTCTCAAGTTATCAAATAGCGGCCAATGAGAGCGACAAAAATAAGATTATTACAGTATCATATATATACTGTAAAATGACTAATTTTCACTGGGTTTAAATTTCGCTGATTTACCATTTCAGGCATATTCAGTGGGTTTTAAATTCACGGTTTCGTCATTTAGATAATGTGTTCTATGCTAAATTTTACATATTCACTGGGTTTTAATTTAGCGCATTTTTCCAGTCAGCGAAATAAGCTAAATTAAAACACAGTGAATAATTACCCCCTTTACAGTATATAGGAATAAGCATTATTTTGGTGGGCAAGATTGTCAGAGATAGCTTTAAAGTTAACTTATAGTTTTTTGATGTCATAGTGAAGTAAGAGCTACATATATGTACAATTTGGTTTTCAGTATTTTTATTATTTAACAGCACCGGTTGTTATGGTTATTAATAACCTGTAAACATGTGCTATTACTATTTTGGCATTATTCCAATTTGAGATGTACAGTCACATGGCTCTCTATCGAATGGATGGATATTTCAGGAATTATTTTATAATGATGTATTTGGAATTTGGAAATATTTACATGCACAGCTTCTTGAATACTGAACACTTCTTTTTAATAAATTGTTGTAAATTGTCGTGAATTGAATAATTTTGATATTTGCTTCTCACAAAATCTGGGTGCTATAATTTTGCTGTAGTAGTAGTGGCTACCCATCTTCATCAAAATTTACAAAAAAAAACAATATAAAACAAATCATGTGACAGGTGACAAAAGTAAGCGCTCATAGGGTTGATCAGTTTGCATGACTGGTAAATCTTTTAATAGATCAATCTTTGATTATGTAATTCAGTTTAGTCATATTTCATAATTAAATCTGTATACATTTTTCCAAATTACTAATTAGTTTTCCATAATGAGAAAAAAAATGGCTGAAAAGATGGCATTCAAATGCTGGACGAAATTGAAACTGGTTTGACATCAGTGCATTCTTTCACTTTTGTGTGTTATATACAATCAAATACACAAATGATGTAAATGTCTTGTGAGAACAAGGATTTCTATTTTTAATTTAAATATACTGTTGTCATTTTTCTCGGACATTATTTTACAACTCCTATCGGTAATGGTTGATATTAATTAAAATACTTTTTAGTTTTAGGCCAGACTTTTTTTATTCCTTGTTTCTCTAGTTTTCATAAGTAAATTGTTTTGAGGAGGGCAGAAAAAAATAAAATTAATTCTCTTTCTCCATTAGATTTGTGAGATTCTCAAAGAATTGTAAGTGAGATCATTGATCGGATAGAAGAAATGAAATAAAATTTTATTCCATGTATAACCTGGTTGGCAATGTCGTCAATTGGGGCAAAATTTTCAGCATTAATGAGACTTCTCATGAAAACTCCCATGGAAATGCAACTTGGATTTGTTAGGTGGCAGGCGGGAAAAAAAATGAAGATAAAAATAATTTTTTTAGCAATTTTTTGCTCTCACAAGTTGGCAGGCACGAGAAATTATGCTGAAATAAAATGTTATTTTTATTTCATTTTTGGCTCCTGTTCATTTGGCGGGTTCGCGAAACAAGGGATAATAAAAGTCTGGCCTTATTTTAATTAAATAGCCTAATTTGTGCGGAGTCCATTTCACTTCATACATGTATGTTACCGGTATAAACAGTATAAACCTAATGTTATAAATACAACTCACAATGATATAAAC